TTTTTTAAAAAAGGAAGTGAAATAAATACAGAAAGATGCCAGTACCAGAGTAGTCTAGAGAGGTTTCAGACAGACACTACAATGTTTATAAAACAGGCTATTTAATGCAGAAGTGGGTAGCTGAAATTGAATAGCTGCTGAGTAATCAGGTATTTTTCTCTAGGGGAAAGGATTGGAACTGAGAAATGTAGGAACTGAGAAACTGGCAAACAAGAACAAAAGTTCAACATACTTTTCTGCACACTGTGCTGTGGAAAACACTTTGTGACTACTATGAACGCTGTTGGAATAAGAGGAAAACACTACTTTTATAGCTAGTGGTGCTACTTAAAGCTTACCAAGGATGAAGTAAGAACAAAGTGGTGGAGCGAAGGGGGAAAATGAATATTATTGTCAGAGTAGGAATGTGCCAAGTAAATTGCAAGAGGGAATCCATTTTTCAAATAGCCCTACAAATGTCCTCAATGCCGCTGTCACATCAATAGTGAGAACTTCTCAGCCTTTTCTCCACTGACCAATCAGAAGGCATAAAAAATGGCATCAAGTCAATGTCTTGGCCATTTCCTTGTTCTTAGGAATTCAGTTTGTTTTTGCAGAAAATTTAAAATCTGGCCACCTTCTGGGTGGGGCATTTTAAAAATTGTCCTTCTGTTCATGACCAAAAGAACACTGAACGATCAGAAACCATGAGGCGCGATGAGAAGGGAACTTTACTAATGGGAAGTTGCCCTCAGTTAAATGCTGCAAATGCCACCAGATACCTGGGTCATATTACCATATGTGATGGACTTGCCCAAAAGCAAAACAATACTGCACAAAAATAGATATGTGGTTGGAAAAAATGATAAAACAGCATAATGATTTAAAGCCAGAAATATTTCTGTTGGGGGGTTCTACCTGAAAAATACAGTAAGGCAAATGCATATTTAGTGATTCATATATTAACTGCCGCTAGAATTGTATTTGCATAAAGTTGGAAGAGTGAAGAGATACCTACAGATGAGAATGTGATTAGGAAAATATTAGAATGTGCAGAAATGAATAGATTAATGTTGGCAATTAAGGAGAAAGAAAACTAAATATTACATGATCTATCTTATCAATGGTTAAATAACAAAAATGGAAGTTAGAAACAGGGAGACAAAATAAAGAAGATATGTTAAAAGAGATAAGTAAATATTATGACTATTATGTTGAATATTACTATTTTAATATTGTTGAATTAATATCAATGTAACGAATGATGTTGCAAATTTTGATTATTATTCAACAAAGATATTTACACCCAGACAACACACTGTTTAATTGAAGATGGAATGATTATATTTAAAAAATTATTATAAAAGGAAGTTGCCCTCTCTGAAGTCCCAGCTGCGTTTTAATAATTTGTTCACAATGGAAGTTAATCATTTCAAAAACAATAGTATGAAAAGATAGGGGCCGATCCTGATATTAGGATCCGAGGGAAAGAGGTCTGTTAAACAGCCCCCGGCTGCTTCACAGAAAAAAATAAATTTCTTGTATAATTTCCACCTTAACTTTATTATTTTATTATTTTTCTCTTTATTATTTTAATTTAGTTTATATGATTTTATATTCTTGTAAGCCACCTTGAGCTGCCATGTGCAAGTAGGCGGCAATATAAATTTCCTACATAAAAAAAATTCCCATGTGGAATATATGTATCCCATCCTCTTATAGTGACTCTGTTTTATTGAGCCTGCAGGCTTATATATATTTGTTTGGAAGCAAATCTCTTTAAATGTGTAAGTGTACATGGCATTGCTATAATAAGAGGATGTGAACTGTACTGCAAAGCATTCAACTTATTTCATACAAAAGTCTCCAGATAATAAATCTGTAATTGGTTATATGATATCAAGTTGTGCATGATGATGCTGGCAAATGCTCACCATTTTAATTTATGTTTAGAAATAAGTTAAAGTTCATCCACGACATTTGGTGACCTATTTGATTCCAATCAACCATTTTGTCTACATATTTCTCCTACTTCCCTTTTTTTTCCTAGTGCATCATGTTTGTCCCAGATGAACATAGAGCAGTCCAAGGGTATTAAATCAAGACCCAGTTTAGGCCAATTTTATATTTTTTAACATCTCACCCCTCTCCTTTTCTTCATAACATGTTTGCTTTTTCAGATGTCTAGCAATATCTTATTGATTCATATTCAGATTTAGGTTCTATGATGACCCGGGGCGTGGCACAAAGGCAACACAGTCACATAAGTAAGAAGAGTCTCTTTAATACCTCCAACTTTCCCCCAATGTCTTTGGCTGGAGAAAAAAATTCTCCCAAGAACAGTCTTTAAATGGAGGAAATTCAGTCCAAAAACAAGGTACATACAAACTGTAAATAAAAAGCCACACAAACCACGCTGCGGTAATTAACTTGATAGGGAAGGATAAGGAACTGCAGACTTGAAAGGCCAATAAAACACACACAGTTGGGAAGATGTCAGAACCCCAGATAAGCCTTGACAATACCAGATAACTCACAATTTGCTCTCAACAGTTGGTTGTGTGCAACTCCCCTTTTTAAACACTGTGTTTCCAACTGCAGCTAATGAAGGGAATCATCGTTGCTCCCTTCTCCATTCCTCCCTGCATGCCCTAGGATGAAGAGGGGTTGGCCTGAATCTTCCTCCGAATTCCCTCTGCCTTGCTCTACCTCTCTCCTGCTCTGCCCAGCTGGACTTTGCCCTTCCCCAGTTTCTTCCACAGCCAACGGAGCCACACTCCCACTCCCTGTCAGCTGCTCAACTCCCCATCGGAATCAAATTCCGATTGGGGCATGACAGGTTCTCTCCTTTCTTCGGATGCTTATTATATTGAAGTTTTTGAAGAGATGCATTCTGAAGATTGTGATTTTTTTCCTATTAGTGTGAGAGTGTTTTCAAATGTTTTTGCCTTAATCTAAATCTTAAATATAAAGTATAGGAAGCAGTTTAACCAAGGTTATCCCTGCTTCTATGTCTTTGCAGCTCCTCATGCTTTATTTTTGCTCTAATCCTGTGACTCTCCCCCTTGTATTGCACAAACACAATTTCTTGCAAATTCTAGAATATTTTCAGTATGAATAAGCATCTTCAATTATTGGGATCAAAAGGAATAAAAAGGGTAAATCCTTAATTTTCTTCTTTTCTTCTAATAGTCTAGCACTGATGATGTTACCTAGTTTGGGTAATGAAACATTTGTAAGAAAACAACCAAGCTCAGAGAGTACCAAGGACCTCCCCTCAACAGCAATAGCACTTAAACTTATATATCACTTCACAGTGCTTTACAGCCCTTCCTAAGCAGTTTACAGAGTCAGCACGTTGCCTCTAACAATCTGGGTCCTTATTTTACTGACCTTGGAAAGATGGAAGGCTGAATCAATCTTGAACCAGTGAGAATTGAACTGCCAAACGGCAGTCAGCAGAAGTAGCCTGCAGTACTGCATTCTAACCACTGCACCACCATAGCTCCTATTTTCTATCTATGCTTAGTGCTTCCTTGTGGTCCCTAGATAACGAGGCAATGAAGAATTATGTGACTGCATCTTCAGAACACAGCCCTTCTGATTTAATCTGAATATACTAGTTCTCTAACCCTATGCCATTGGACCAGTCTGAATAGCAGTTGCTTTTGGAACAGGTTTAGTAAGAATTAGTCCCTATACCCAAAGAAAAAAATAGGTGTATCATACTGTTGTCCCATTCCCTCTTTTTTCTTACTGATAAAACTATAGTCATGCATTTCCTGGGATGCCACCTCTTACATTAAAAATGTACACTAGAAGCCGACAGTCTAATAAAAATTAAAAAGCAAATTTCCAACATAAATGAATGCTGTTGAAACTGCTACTCTCAGAAATAGGCATTAGGAAAGCTGCTTTTGACCAGTGAACAAAACAATAGTCCAAAAAGTTCTTCAGAATGGTATCAATATGCCTTTTTACAATTAATGTTATAAATAGCAGTGATACCTTCATTCTTCTAAGCACTCACACTGAATACTAACTTAATGGATGATAATGAATGAATACTAATTCATTCATTTAATTGCCTCTTTATTAGCATTCACTGAATTTTCAGCCATGCTGAGCTAAAAATAATTCTGTAAAACAATCTTCCACAACTTGATGCCTTCTAAATACACTGGAATTTCTGCCATGTTGCCATCTCTTATATCTCAGCATCAGTTGATATGTAACTACCAATATTAAAATAACACATTGGTTCAGAAATTGCCCTGTGTAGGTATATCAACATCTTCCTTTGGTTTTTGCAGCTGCTGCCTCATGTTTCAATCTTCAGTGCATGCAGCACCTCAAGAAACATTGACGCACATAGTGCACCAAAATATTCATACCATTCCTTGCTGTTCTAAGAATATAAACAAGGGAGAACAGATGCTTGACTTTACCAGCTCAGTTCACTGCCCATTATGTGCAGTGACATTTCATCAAAACAGCAATGAGGAAATTAAAAACTAATGCTAATTTTAGAGAAGTCTTCTCTTATTTTTTTTTCTGGCTCCAGTATGCATGATCTATACTTTGCATGGCAGCAATAACATTTGTATAACCTTCCCATTTGCACAACACAGAAACCACAAGCTTTGGTAGCACCCAAAGGAAGTGATCTACTGTCTACTCTTTCTTCCATTTCCCCAATAATCAGTGGTGGGTTTCAAATAAACCCACCACCAGTTCGCCAAAAATGTGAGAGTGCATGCCCATGTACACGATTTCCACACATGCACAGCTTTCACCGTGTGGCAAGGCTCAATAAAGCAGTGTTTCGGGGCCTGCTCTGCTCCATCTCTGCTTTCCGGCACTACAGCACAGAGAAGCAGCAGCTATGTTGAATGCTGTTTCCCTCAGCTGCAGCGCTTTCCGAATGGGACTTAGAGGACTCAAAGTGGCGGCTGACAGCTGCTAAATTGCAGTCTGCTCTCCCAGCAAGAGAAGCAGCAGAGAGAAGCAGCTGCCAACCCGGAGAGCACATGGAGCATCTCCACGAGTGAAGCCTTGGCGGCAAGTGATGGGAGAAGTGGCTGCAAGATCTCCGCTGCAGTGCTTTCCAGATGGATCTTCTTAAAGGTAAGAACCGTCCGGTCCATTCCCAAACTGCTTTGGCCCTCCTGCGCCCATGTCACCCCCCCCCCATAGCCCTTCGGCCTAGCACAAGCTGAATAAATTACTTTGGCCCATGGGGCCATAGTTTGAAGCCAGAGGGGGGGTAGGCATGCGAGCGGAGGCCTGGGGCAAGGCTGGAGCCAGGGAATGGTGCATTCCCTGACCCAGCCAAGGCGAACAGCGAGCAGGTGGCATGCATTGCTTACCTTTGGTGAGCAGAGGAGGCGAGGCACGGAGGCGAGGCACAGAGATTAGCTGGGCCATGTGGCGAAGGCAAGATATATAGAGCAGGGCAGGGTGGAGTGGAATGGGCGGGGAAGGTTGGGCAGGGCCAATTGGTGTTGCAATTGGTTCTATGAGAGCGTGCTTTGTGGAGGTGCAGCGCAGCACTCAAAGACCGCCCTCGGTGTCAGCGCTGATAAGCTCAGCTGAGGCACGGCAATATGCTCTGCCGCACGAATCACTTGAGCTAAAACACAAGGGAATTTAGACTTATTTAGGGCAGGAAAAACAAGGGGGGGGGCGGGGGGGGGGGGGCCATGCAGAAATGGTATAAATAATCAGAAAGTTAACACTGAAATGCAACATACCATAGCATGTTTTATAAAATGCAAGTACTTTGGCAAATATTCATTGTGATAAACATGCCATAGAATCTAGTCATCACCATTATAGATACTAATGATGCAATCAATATTTGTACAGTAACTTGCTTTTTGATATTATTTCTTTGAATGAATTGCATTAAAATTCATTTCAAAGGAAAAACATCATAAAAACCACACATTCATAGAATGGTATTATTCCAGCCTACCAATTCAATGTTGTTTTGAGCGTGCATAGTACTTCATAGTGTTTATTACAATCCTTTTATAGAAAACTTATACGTCCCATATTTAATCTGCAAGTATGTATTAGTTTACAATAATTATCATGCAGATTCTAAAATGTTTTCCTAGTTTTATATGCTGCCCACAGTCCACTGGAAATGGCCAACCCCCCCCCCCCGAATAAATACCCTTGTACCTCTGTTGTTGTACCTGAATGTTTTGAAGACAAGATTCCTTTAAAGCAGGGGTCCCCAATCACCAGTCCCCGGACCGGTACCGATCCGTGGATCATTTTTTACCGGGCCGCAAAGCTTGGGCGCCGCCATCTTGTTTCAACGGCGCTTCCGGGTTTTCGGTTGGAAAGTGCTTCCGGGTTTCCAGTTGGAAAGCGGCGTTTGGGTGCTCATGCCTTAGTTTCATCGAAGGGGGGGCGACTTTGAACGAAGAGCCGTCCCCATGGTGGTGGAGTCTCGCGTTACTCGGGTACCAGTCCGTGGAAGAATAATCGTGAAACCGGTCCCTGGTTCAAAAAAGGTTGGGGGCCACTGCTTTAAAGAGTCCTTGCTCGTGTCCTTGTGACCTCTTATCCGGATTACTACAAAGTGTTCTGCATGGGGCTGTCCTTAAAAAGCATTCCAAAGTTTCAGAGTGTTGAATGCAATTGCACAAGTAGAAAAAGGGTATTGGGTATTTAGCATGTTAATGCATGCTTGGAGAGCTGCATTGGTTGCCAATATTTTCAGGTGTGATTCAAGGTGCTGGTTATCATCTTTAGAGCCCTTCCTATCTTGAAGCTGGGTTACCTAAGGGACCATCTTCTCAGAGTTTTTTCTACCTGTTCAATTTAGTCAGGCAGGTTGGGCATCTGCAGGCCTTGTCAGCTAAGGAATGTCAGAACCAGAAGATGTGTCTTCTCTGCCCTAGTCCTTGCCCTCAGTGGTGGGCTGCAACCAGTTTAATAACTGGTTCTAAGAGCGCATGCTTCGCGTGTGCATGCAGAGCTCAAAATACAACAATTTCAAGTACTACTGCTTACCTTCTAGGGCAGCTCCGGTAAGTAAAACAGCTGAGGCACGGGAATCCATTGTGCCACGTGAATCAGCCGAGTTTAAAAAACGCGGAAATATAGGACAGGACAGGGTGGGACCAGTTGGTTGTCGGAGCTACCGGTTCACTAGAACTGGTCCAAACCGGCAGCATCCCACCACTCCTTGCCCTCTGAAATACTCACCTTCCAGATATCAGAATACCAACCCTTTTGGCCTTTTGCAAGCTGTGAAGACTTGGTTGTGTGCTCAAATCCCATTTCCTGACTGTATTAATGAACTGTTGTAAGTCAAGGACTACCTGTACTGCGTTTCTTCTGGAGTAGTAGTTCAACGTAAGAAGCAAATCACAAGTTTTAAGAGTGTATGGATGTGCTAATCTTGAAAAGGGCCTGGAAAGGACTGTCATTTACAGGAATCAGCACCTGAATCACCTCTTCAGAGGAAAATAAAGAAGTCAAGAAAGACAAACAGTAGTGTAATGTAGAGATATGTAATGCACTATAGGTTTTTGAATTAAATAATTTATTGTAGGAACTATTTTGTATTAACTATTACTGAGCCATATATGGTTAAAGAACTCTCCAGAGGATGTGCAATAAAATGATGTAAAAAGAATGATGAAATATTGCACATTCATCCCAGAGTGTGGGCACAGAAGGGAAAGCTGCAGTTGTTATTTTCGTAACTCTCACCTGGCAAGGCTCCCACAAGTCCTGCTTTGCGGCAGCATCATGGTGAGCAGGTGGTTTTTTTGAAAAGATGAACCAAGGATGCTGGAGATGATGCTAAGGATATATAATTCTAAAATGGTCACTCAAAACACGAAGATTAACTCAGGTGCCCTGTGCTGTCCAGACAGTATATAGGTAGTTGGGAACCTAGTGTTGCTGCGGAGAAAGGCTGAACTTGAAGACTGAACCTCAAGCTTTGCATGTTTTGCTTTGTTTGATGCTATATTATTGTTTACTGTTTGTCTTGAAAGCCTGCTGCAGGGAAAAGGGCGTCAATTTATTTATATTTATTCTCCATAGCATCTGAGGGTAGGACAAGAAGCACTAGGTGAAAGTTCATCTGGGAGAGATCCATAATAGAAAATGTACAAGCAAAATTTTAAACATAGCTTTAAAATGGTTTTGTACAAAGGAAAAAAGTTCTTAAAATGAATGATTCAAACTTCTCCTTGAATGTGGAAGAGCTGATTGTTAAGAGTTTGACGTACTAATTCAAAAGATTAAATAACTGGAGGGTTTTTTTTTTATTCCATAGAAATCAGCACAAGGCCAGGTTAGGTAATCAAAATCAGAAAATATCATACTGCTGTTCAAATGAAGTTTCTCAAACCTCAAAAATAACATTATTCAAATGAAGTTTCTCAAACCTCAAAAATAACATTATTAAGGCAAATAAGATTGGCATAAAGTTTACCCTAATTTGAAGGCTAACTTATTGAACACTTATTGTTCACTTATTGAACACTTACATTTAACTTCCTTTTCTTTTTACAGAAGGGGAGTATGGCATCAGAGCATTTTTTTTTAAAAAAAGTTTCCTTTTCCTTGTCTTTTTTGGCTCCACTATTGCAAATCTGTTCTTGATGATAATATTTGTGAAACATTGGTGAAATATCTTTTGGGGTAAACAGATTCAAAACAGTTTTGAGGCATTGAAAGGGAACTGGGTTTCATACCCCTCTGTATTCTGAATAAATATTTTTCTAAATTATTAGACATAAAATCAAAGGATTTTATGGAGAGTGAAATGAGACATTTTAAAATCTACCAAAATATAATAAATCTTCAAATCAGGTAAGAGTGGGATAGTCAGGATAGTAATGGACAATTAAAATTTACACAAATTATGATAAGAATCTTCCAGAAGGCAGAGGAAAAAAGTTACCTGATCAGATGATCCTTGGGTGGTAAATGATTTAAAGAGGTATGAAAGTGTCGCGTTGAGCGACCGGTCTGTTGTTTCGATCTTCTGGTTGATTG